CCTCCTCAGCCAGGACAACGGCCATCTTGACCATCCCGACCATACTGGCGGCCAGATGCTTTCTCCGACTTTCTTTATTTAGCCGTTGTATGGTCTCAGCCTCCTCGGCACTTACTGTCAAGGGAAACCCCTCGAAGAAGCCTTCCTCTTTAAAGCAGGGGGGCAAGCCAAAGGCCCTCACCGCGCCAGACTCGTCGCCGACTTCCAGCTGGCTCTCTACCCGGTTCCTCTTCCTCGGTATCAGATCAATATGCTGCTCGACGTCCTGGGAGTCCGGGGACCCGCCAGAAGCATCACCCGAACTAGTTGCCGGGTCCATCCTCGTCGCCTGAGGAGCTCGCACCATTCTTTTGTTGACTTTCTTATCTTGTGTCAACTTTAGAAGCCTCTCCTTTCGTCCGGCCATATGACCTGCAAAAAAAGAAACCCGGGTTAGTTACGAGCAAGTAACAAACGAAGAAATTAGAACAAAACTATAAGACAAAAAGTAACCTAGCAGGTTCGCGGCCTGCCCGTAGGACTGGCACTCCACAAGCGCCTTTGTATCTATAGGACGGGCCTCGAAGGTCGGGTAACCATCCTCGTCGAGAATGTCCTTTCCCTCCCTCGTGGCCCACCGGGCAGGGAAGAAACTGTCGACATATCTGCAGAGGGTACCGTAGGCCTCCTCGTCTTCGATGTTCATCCCTCCCGCGGGCGTATGGTAATGCCCGGTGCCATGCTCATAGTGGCGCGAGCTCCAATGCAAGGGAAACTTAGCTACGTGCCCCAACACCGGGCGACCCTCATCGTCTATAAGAGGCTCCCCGTTATCATCGGTCACTGCAGTCTCTTCTTCATATACAGAATCTAGAGAAGTCTGGGTGATCGGCCGCATGATATACCATTTGTCCTTGAACCCCCGGACATAATCCATGTACATCCTAAACAGCCTCTTCGACTGTTTCAGGGAAACCCAACTGTGCCTACCTCCCCGAGATTGGCGTTGTAAATGAAAGACTCTGAAGAAGAGAGGTATGGTCGCCCCAATCCTTAAAAAGCAACACGTCAGCTCGAACGCCCGAAGAAAGGCAATCGAGTTGGGGTGAAGCTGCGAGGGGGCCAACTCTAGATGACTGAATACCCCGACCTGAAAATCACTAAAGGGGAGCTTGAGGCCGAGGTCCTTGAACGCGATTTCATACATGGGAAACCCATACTCAGAGAACTCCGAGCAGATCCGCGTGTTAAGAGACGGTCTGGTGACGACAAAATTTTTCTGGAAGCTCGGCTGACTACCTCCATGCTCGACGATAGTGTACGCGCTCCGACTGCGCCGACTATATGCAGAAGCAATCCCTCTAGGCTCGGCGCCCAGCCACTCTAGCAAAGGATCGTCAATGGTATCGATCAGAGTTATGTTTTCCTCGGCACTCTGGTCTTCGACCTCGTTGCGCCCCGATGACCCCAGTTCATCAGCCATTTTACCTGCAAAGCACAGGAAACCAGTCAATTTGGGAGCAAATCCATACGCTCGCCATAACTGACGGGAAGAAGGGCACGACAAGCCAAGTCATACTCCACGCACGTTAAAATGTTGAGGACTCGAACAAGAGCCTGGTTTCACCTTCCCGACACCAAGGTGCCACGACGAGTCGTCCCACATACTGCCTAAATGGGCCAACATCCCGGCCAGTCATGAGTACGTCGACTTAAACTATGAATATGACAAGAAATATCATGAATCCCAAACCTAGAACTATGGGTTTACCGGGAAGTATCATAAGTTATGCGCCCAAAACCATGAAGATCCCGGGCAGCATCGCAAGTCACATACCTAAAGCTATGCGTTCACTGGGCACGAACATGTGTTTACCGGGCAAAAACATGAACATACCAGGCGTGAACACGAATGTACCGGGCACTAATCCCAGATGCGGATTTCTAACATACAAATAACGGAAAAAATCACCTACCACAGAGAAAATATGAGGGATAAAACGCTTACTTGGAAGTTAGGAAGGATGTACAGCGGCAGGGAAGAAAATCGACGACGGAAAGCACGGTGGTCCTATGAAATTCTGGAAAAACAGTGGTGGCAAAGGCAGAGGAAGGAGGAGAAGCGTGAAGAGGAAAACCGGATTATGGGACCCATTGATCCTATTTATAGGGATGACGTGGAATACGAAACGTCACCCCGGGGGAACCACGAGCTTCCCTTCCTCGACGTCTACTCCCCTAGACAATGATGACCCTACTTTCACTAGGGCGGCGTCACGGCTCCCAAGGGTTACCTCGTATACTCAACGAGCACAGCCCGCAAAGAGTTCCCCGAGCACGCCTCGAAAGGTATTATCTCACGAACGCAACACAGGAGAAACTTCTTGAGCAACCACGGGGAAGCAAATATCCTGGCCGAGCGTAAGGCCCCGTGACGAATACGAACTGAGATCAAGTCATAACTCCTGCTCCAGGAGCCACGACATGGGGGGCTCCTGTTCTGGACTGGGCCCGTCCTGGCCCAAGAGCAAGAACGAAGGCCCAATCCAAGCAACTCTACAAGGAGCGCGCGCCCGAAGATTCCCGCCAGCGCATCGACCAGAAGCTACAGCCGTGCCCGCCGCTGCCCGCAAACACGACGTCGTCGACCACATGAAATCCAGCTCGAGCCCAGCTCGAGCACCCTCCTCGTAGGGCAGGCAATGACCGTTACTCCATCACCTGAACTCCCGAAAGACCGCGTCCTCGTCCCTCCGTACTTCTCGCAGAGCATCACCAGGAAGGGGACCATGTGCGGGTCCCCACTACACACGTAGAACCTGGCAGTTCCTTTATTGGGTCAGTCCTGGTCGACCCAATGAAGGGACCTTGGCCCCGTGTTAGGGGCTATAAATACCCTCTATTCCTAGAGGGTCAGGTATTCATTCTCTTACCATACTTACACTTTTGCCTGCTCGTACCATCACTCATTTTAGCATCGGAGTGCCTTGCAGGTACCCCCCCCCCCCATCTTGTTCAACTTCTGCTCGGAGCCAGTCGTGACGGTCCAAGTCTGATCAGGTAAGATCAAAATCCTTGAATAATCATAATTACTTGGTTCTTGAATTGTTCATGTATATGATACAAGTTTCATTTCGATTTTATACCTTGTGATTACTAACATTGTCTTTTTGGTTGTTGTTTCTTAAGTAATTCAAGTTTTATCAATTTAATTCCATCTCTACAATTCCACTTTCTATTTTCACTTTAATCTATTTAGTTAGATATTATTTTAATTAATTGATATTTGTTAATTAAAATGGATTAGTTCACTAATCTATTTTTCTTATCTTGTATACCACCATATTGAATTCAACTTCAAACTTCTTCTAAATTGATGAATTGCTCTTGTGTAAAGAAAAGATGGTGTAGCTTCAAATTTTTAAGTATATGAGTCTTGATTCCTTCTTGTATATTTGTGATAATGTAATTTGAAATCTTTCAATTTTCAACCTCTTGAATTCTTGAACTGAAAATATGATGTTGAGCATAAGTTCAAACTTTTCCATCTTTCAGACCAAGAATGTCTTTGTTTGAAACTTATGGTAATAATGATAATGAAGTGACTTGAAAAATGAGACTTAAGGAGACTCAGACATTCTTGTATCTTGAAAACAAAACTTGAATCAAAGCTTGTCATAATATGAATTCCACTTCAATCCTTTCAAATTGAATTGTTTCTTGCAACACTTCAAACAAATGCTTCCACTTACACCATAATGGCTTAACTCTTGCCAAGAACAAACAAAATCTTAACTTGTAGCACAAATAACTCAATGAATCAATTTCTGAAATATTGACCAAAAAAAGATGAACCCTAATCCATAATCAAATGAGATACCTTAGTCGAAACAAACTCTTGCAAATAAATGAACCATAATCACATGAAACCCTAAATCTCTTATACAATCAACCATACTCATACTTTGGATGGCAACTGCAATATAAGCACACAAAAAAACTTGAATCAAAACACAATGCTATATGTGGATGATTCAGAATGAATGATTTTAAAAAGATATGGTCATAAATAGGATAAATTTTAAGGTGTAACACGTCTTACTATTACTCATTCTTTTAACGCTTCATTTACCTTATGTTTCTGAATCCAACGATAATAGTTATAATTCTGATCTTCTTCTTCAATATCGAGTCAACTAGCTCTGAATGTAAATAAATTATACTATCTATTATTAAGTTTTAAAAATATAAGGCAGAAACATATGATTTGATCTTGATACATTGTTAAAATAAATATTTTTATATTCATTAACCACTTTAAATCATCTCATATTATTAAAATTATTAACATCGATATTGATATTTACAATGAGGCACTAGGTTACTAAATTAAACAACTTTTAAAATTTTTAATTAACATCAATTAAAAAACAATACACACACACTGGTTGTCGACTTGTCGAGTATAGTTTTCTTAATCACCAAGTAAAACGAGGCTCCATCGTGCAACTCCAATGCCACGTGACGCAATCCCATTCGCAGGACAACATGTCTTTTTTCCCCTCTTATACACTTCTTCTGACCAACCGTCCCAATCTTTCCATTCCCATATTTACCCCTCACCTTTCCTTCCCCTTAACGCTTTCGATAACAAGGACACGTAGTGGCATTTCAGTAGTTTCGTTTTAAAGCAAGGGTGAAAAATCGTACACGGGATATACGATGGATTTAAACGCGCTTTCTCTCCTACGTAACGTAACACACTACACAGCACACAACAACACTGAAACTAACTTTCTTTGTTCTTCCTTATTATTATTATTATTATCATTCCATAAATCATAATCATAAATATTAAAAGAGATAAAAAAAAAGCTATGGAACATAACATCCACATCCTTAAATCCTTTGAAGAATTATTCCAATGATTCTTAGTTTCTGAATCGCTTTCGTTTTTTTATAATACTTCTTCCACGATCCATTCAAACTTTCTCTCCTTTTTTTTTTTTTTTTTTAATTTTATGGGCTCTCTTGAGTGTTGTCCGTCGCTGGATGATGGTACGGCGGTGTTGTCGCTGAATTCGCTACCGTTAGGGTTCCGATTCCGACCTACCGACGAGGAGCTTATCGATTACTATCTACGTTCGAAGATCAATGGAAATGGTGAAGAGGTTTGGGTTATCCGAGAAATTGATGTCTGCAAATGGGAACCCTGGGATATGCCTGGTATTTTTCTTTTCTTTTTTACATGAATTATATTCACTTGATCTGGTAAAGTTCTTTTTAGCTTATTTTCATAAGCTCTTGTTTAGACCTTATAAAAACAACTTATAGTTTATATGCGAATAATTTGACTTTATTTTATAGGAGTAGCTTATAGATAATCACTTATATGATAAGCGCTTATGCTATTAGCTTTTAATTGAACTATTTATCCAAAAAGACTTTAGACTGTTTTTGTTGTTTAAATAGATGTGTTGAATTGTTTTTCTGTTGGCTGATTTTTTTCTGTTGGTGTGTTTGGTTTGTTGTAGATTTGTCAGTGATACGAAACAAGGATCCGGAGTGGTTCTTCTTCTGTCCTCAGGATCGGAAGTATCCGAATGGACATAGATTGAACAGAGCAACAACTCATGGATATTGGAAGGCAACAGGCAAGGATCGGAAAATCAAGTCTGGAACCCTCTTGATTGGGATGAAGAAGACTTTAGTTTTCTACAGCGGCCGTGCACCTAAAGGTAAGAGGACTAATTGGGTTATGCATGAGTATCGTCCCACCCTGCAGGAGCTTGATGGTACCAACCCAGGACAGGTTGGTTGTATTCTCTTATTGCCAATTACTGTATGAATAGTATGAATATGATAACAGTTAATTTTTTTTTTTTACTTGTATCAGAGTCCATATGTTCTATGTCGATTATTTAAGAAAAACGATGAGAGCGTTGAAGCATCGAACTGTGGAGAAGTGGAGCAGACTAATTCAGCCCCTATGGCTGCCAATTACTCTCCAGAAGAAATACAATCTACTCCAGCTCCTATTACAGCTTCCACCTCACAGGTCACAGAGGAGGAAAAGCAGCTGGCTGTTATCCCCGATATCTCTGAGGAAACAATATCCAAGGCTATAACCTTAGTTGATTGCCCTAGTGATGGATATTATGCCCATGATGTCCAAAAACAAATTGAAAAACTAGCTGCAGAGGTTAGATTGATTAACTAAGCTATAATATATTATCACTATTTTCTTTCCCCTGATTTTATACTTGATATTTCCTGCAGGAGGATCATGCGTTGAACTTTGACATATATTATAACTCGAAAGATTGTCTATTATTAGATGACAGGATATTCTCGCCAGTTTATATGCCACCTGAATTTGATTATCAAGCAAACAGTGAATCAGACGGTCAATGTGGGTTTCAATATGGTACCAATGAGTTAAATATTTCAGACTTTTTAGATTCAAATCTTAATTGGGATCAAGTTCCCTGTGAGGAGTCTAGTAGTTACCAGCAGAATTTCCCTCGCTTGTTAAGCGTTAAGGACAATGGTTCAGGAAGTGACTCAGACGCAGAAGTTGCCAATATGATGACTGTAAGTAACAGCTCCAACGCTATTTACTGTTGTGTCAATTTGAGCAGGTTTTGCCATGATAATAACATGAAGTAGTTGCCTAATCTCCAGTGGCAGCTCTAAGAATTAAATATGATTTTGTGGTGTCTCCCTTATAAAAGTAAATCTTATTTTATGTAGTGTACGCAAGCTGCTTATCCTCCCGAGGTAATGGACAGAAGGATTCCTTTCGCGACAACACCATCATTTTACCGCACCTTTGACTATAATGGCAATGATCAAAAGAGCAATGTTGTATTATTGCAAAACAATTTCCAGGCTACTTTTCCTTCCAATGTTAATTCTGGTGAAGTATACAACATCAATGCATATGATCAACCTAGAAACTATAATAATACATTTACAAGTGGTGAAAGTGGAATCATCCGAAGGGCCCGGCCGGCACGAGACGAACAATTTAAGCCAAATTTCAATCAAGGTAATGCTGAAAGGAGAATTCGTTTGTCAGATCCTAGACATGGCTCAAAAGGGAGTAGTACAAAAGAACAGCGTAGTTCAAAACCAATCATTGAAGTGGTAAGAAAATATTTTTCATATTTTGCTTGCATGATGACTAAGAGGTTGTCTCTGCATGTGTTGTGAGGTTTTTTTCTCTTTTGCAGGAGAAGAAAGCTGCAGAAAATCATGCTGCCGATGATGAAAGTTCTACCGGAACTAATCACACATATAAAAAGAGGAAGGCATCCAAGTCAGTTATCACCAGAAATATTTCTTTATTGCTAGGAAGGGCGCGGGCGCCTTTCAGATCAAAGACTTCCTCCAACTGTGCCTTGTGGTCTTCCGTTTTTGTAGTTTCTGCCTCTGTACTGGTTTCATTAGTAGCTTTTACTAACATACGGGGATGTATTAAATTTTGAACTGCTTGCAGATCATTCCTTTGTAATTTGTCCATTTCTTTTTTGGACCAGTTGAAAGGAGGCACGTAGGGTTTATAACTTCCTTAGATTTGCGGATAACTCATATATGCGTGTCTGCATATATTTAGTTGGTGTATAATATGTTTTCGTCCACTATCACCCAGTTGGCTAGTCTGTGGACTCTGTTATTGTATATTAAGCTTAAACAGTTTCTTCATTCTAAGTTCTCTTTCAATTTCACCTTTTAAATTTCATGTTCTCATTCTTCATTTTGATATAAGGGATGGATTAAAATTGCAATTCGAAATAGCATCGACAAACATCCACTGAGCACTCTTCCGTCTATTTAGGAAGGGGCAGTGTGAAACCTCTAATCATCTAATGCCCATTAAAACTCAAAACTTGGATTTTTGAAAATCTACATATGGATGTCAAAACCGACTAAATGAGATACAATGTAGGTAATTGGGGGTCTAAAATTAGATAGAATGTATGTATAACGGAGTACTAGCCAGAGGTGTAATATGAGACCTGGGGAATTACTATTAACCGCCCTTCATATATAAGGGATTCCACATGAGATCCAAAGCATGTTCTAACTATAACTTACTCTACTTCTTTGTTGCTCATTCATTGAAATGAGCATTGAAGTGTTAATTTTGTAATTGCATCCCCTCTCCACAGTATGAAAACTCTATTCTATTGCTTCATATATTTTAGGTTTTTTAACGGAATAGTGACGCTGTATGTGGAAACTCAAAGTTTGTTCCCTGCCCTTTAGCCCCAACTAAGGAGCAACTGTTATATATTGGGCAAAATAGTTCCACATTCGAAGTTAAAAATAGTTTATATACAATACACATACTTCTCAATCCGACAAGACTCATTTTTTAAAGGACAAAATTTTGAGGATTATCAAACTCAAAACAAACAATATCTTATAGCTAGAGTGAATTGACGAGACACAGACTTAAGGTCGATATAACATTTTCTGTTTTAATGTCCTTTTTAGAAGAATCAACCTCGTCCATGGTGGAACACTCAATTAAAGGACCATTGATAGAGAATGAAATGACAAACTAGGTATCTTTCTTAGAAGTAGGTATCCTCCTAACAAATTCTGTTTATTCTTCATACCATACATCAAAGTACCTAACCTTCTATATAGGCTTGGATGTTATCATATAAAGGCTAGGATGTTATCATATAACAAACTAACGAAAATTACAACTCAACAAAAGGAAAAACAACATGGCACCAAACCAAACTAAATATTTTGCTCAAACTAGTTAATCATTTATGTTAAAATTTAAAATATCTTTGTCAGTATTTCCTTTTATATATATAAAGTAGTTTAGTTGCATTCGCATGTTTAAATCCGCACCCTAATTTGATGTCATGACATAACTACTGATTGAACTATCTTATATATTTCAAGGTGAAAAAAATAAGAATCCATGATAAACTAGGGTCTAGGGTCAACGAGTGGCTTAGAAGTTTGAAAGAGAGTAAAAGAAAGAGTATGAGTGTTGAGAGAAGAGACAACATTTGATGGCAGCCATTCATGTTCTTGTTGTGTTTCTTTCATGCATTTCAACTGTGGTGAGGTGTGAGGGTGATGAAGATGACTCGTATGCTCAAGAGATTCTAAGTTCAGCCCAAAAGGAAAAGGATTGGTTGGTTTCAGTGAGAAGGAAGATTCATCAACACCCAGAATTGACTTTCAAGAACATAACACAAGTGCTCTTATTCGCAGTGAACTTGACAAACTTGGCATACCTTATACATACCCAGTTGCCAAAACTGGTGTAGTTGCACATATTGGTTCTGGTTCTCCTCCCATCATCGTTATTCGTGCTGATATAGATGCACTGCCCTTGAAGGTTACCCCAATTTAGCCTCTATAGCGTGTGTTTGGTTCTAATAACTGAATATTTGATTTGATATTGGTGATGCTTGTTTAGGAGCTTGTTGACTGGGAATACAGGAGCAAAATTGATGGCAGAATGCATGCTTGTGGACATGATGCTCATGCTAATATGCTACTTGGGCTGCAAAGTTGCTTAATCAGCGCAAAGATAAGCTTAAGGGTCTTTTCAAATTATCTGTTTCTAATCTTCTTTTATGTTTTTGTTTTCAATTATTAAATCAACCTTTGCATTCTTATAACTTGGTTTTCAGAGCTTTGGTATTCTCTACTTGTTTCATCTTCTACAGCTTATTGATCAATAAATAACCTTTTTCTGCTTTCCTGAATACTGCCCAAAAGCTGAATTAGCTAACTATTGAGTTCCTTTAGGATAAAGTTGCTAAGAGTCCTACATCTGACAATATATACTTACAAATAGGAGCAATCCTCACCCAACAAGTTGATTTTAAAGTCAGATTTGTAGGGATGAGTTAGGCCGGACCAAAGTCTTTAACATGCTATCAAGAGTTTAAAATCTGGTAGGCCACCTGCTATCTGGTTTATGATATTATACCACCTATCATTCATTTCCACGCTCCAGATATCAAACCCTGAGTCCCAAATCGGATAATATATGACCGGAACATGTGCTTTATAAATAGGGGCAATCCTCATCCTACGAGCCGGTTTGGATGAGTTAGGGACAAACCCCATTTCTTAACAAAAATAAATCAATTAAATATAGATATTACTATTGTAACAACTGAATTATCTTTTACCTAGTGTTGAATCACAGGTTCAGAAAAATGTAAGTAGATGTTTTCTTCTGTTGAGGTATTTGATGCTCTGATTCTAACACTTGCATAACTCCTCAAAAGTTAAATATGTTGTTTGAAGATTGACCCTGTACTCTCTGTTATTGATATTAAAGGGAACTGTGAAGCTTCTTTTCCAACCTGCAGAGGAGGGAGCTAAAGGTGCCTCACAAATGATAAAAGAAGGAGTTCTTCAAGACGTTGAAGCAATTTTTGCTCTTCATATTGATGCTATGATATCTACCGGAGCCATAGCATCGATTCCAGGTCCTTTTACAGCTGCTGGATGTATTTTTGAAGCAAAGATTGTAGGAGTAGGTGGTCACGCTGCACTCCCGCACATGACTGTAGATCCAGTGCTGGCTACATCATTTGCAATATTGGCCCTGCAACAGCTTGTCTCAAGGGAAATTGATCCTCTTCACAGTCAAGTATGTGTTACTCTCCATCTTGACTTTCACTAACTAAGGCTTATCCATTTAATTATCGATTTAACTATGCCAAAATTGATGTCATGGTGAAATATGACCATCATCATATATTGGCTATAGGTGCTGTCTATTACTTATGTCAAAGACGCATTAAACGTGATCCCGTCCTATGTACAGTTTGGAGGTACTCTAAGGAGCCAGACAACTGAAAGCATTTACCATTTCAGACAGAGATTAAAAGAGTTATAGATCAGTGTAGATATCATTAGTAGTTCTGTTTTACTGGCTGAATTTTAGTGCTTCCTTTTGTCCGTTCATAAGTTTCGGTCTATGGTAACAGGAAGTTGAATAGTAAACTTAATGCTTATGCACTTCTGCTCCATATATTTTAATAGCAGGTATTGTTGAATAATTACAGGTTATTGAAGGACAAGCAAGTGTACATCGATGTAAAGCATATGTTGATTTCATGGAAAAAGACCATACACCATATCCTTCTGTTGTCAACGACAAAGTCTTACATCTACATGTCGATAGAGTTGGCAGACTTCTGCTTGGTACAGGCAATGTCCATGAAGCAAAGAAGTTGATGGCAGGTGAAGATTTTGCGTTTTATCAAGAAGTGATTCCTGGAACATTGTTTTCAATTGGAATCAGAAATGAGAAAGCAGGATCATTTCACTCCCCACACTCTCCATTTTTCTTTCTTGATGAGGAAGTTCTTTCAATCGGAGCAGCTCTGCACACTGCTGTCGCTGAGTTGTATTTAAGTGAGCATAGTTTTTAGTAAAACTCTTTTTATCGTTACCGATGTATCACGTATGCACTTAAGATTCTGTATATACAAGGAAAGTGTATACTTCTCCTCATTTGACAGGGATTGGTAGATTTCTTATTCTGCAAGAATTGTTGAAATGATACTACTGACTAAAGTGTAATTCAATAAAATAGAAGAATTTATTTTACTGATCAAAAACACTGACAGCAACATTTTACATGATGCACACTACAAATAGGAAAAAGAAAACTCAAGAATATTGCATGGTTTGCATATATCGACAGAAAACTGATGTCTACCGTTCCGTGGCGGCCATTATCTCTTTAGAATTGAAACTTGAAAGTGCCCTTCGGCCAGATCCTATGAATAGTTTTGCTTAGCTTTCTAACCTAAAGTAAATAATAGAGTGGACACAAGGAATCTGGTGGTCGTTTCTTAAGCTTAATAATATGTGACAGTGTCTCCCAACAAAGCAATGCCCACATGACAGTGTGACACTGATGAGCAAATGGTTGTAAGCCAAGAGTTCTAATAATAATACTTGCTATGTTCCACGATAACTGTCACATTTAAAAAAATTCAAAATAAATATGTTTCAATGTAATATTAATCTATTATGTGCATCTCTTCTGTTCCGCTAGGGAAGCAAAAATGCGGTGAAATGGTGAAGTAGAGTCTAGATGCGGTGGAGCTGGTCTACGGTGTGGTGGCGCAGGGTGGATCTGTAAGATTAACACTCCGACACCTAAATCAGTAAGAGAATGAAGATTAAATGTTAGTTATCTCTCAGAGAATATCTTAGGTTTCACGTGGGGTGCCTTATATATGAGTAACAGTTATGGACGTCCCTTGCTTCTCGGCGTGGAATGTGGGAGGTCGTCTGATGATATCTACGGTAGGCAGCAGTCTATGGTGTGGATCCAGTGTGAGGCTTCAGAGTAGGGTTGTACTGCACCTTCAACGACCTGGTGGAATGACTTTGGACTGATGGCTGGGCCTCCCTTTTGGGCTTGTGGCCGGCCCAACCCATCTTCCAAACTATTTTATTCTATTTTGTATTTTGATGATGGTGAATACACTCATATCTAACAAGAAAATGTGACAGTTATTGTCGAAAAGTATAATTCATCACAGTTGAACAGACACATTTTGTACCAAGGAATGGTAATACATGGTTGAGTATGATCGCATTCCAAATGCAACCGTCCAAATTCTTTTTTACCAAACCAAACTAACAAAAGAAGGGACCACTACTCCACTAGGATCTCTGTTCATAAGTTATCTTTTTCATGTTAAAAGAAACCCTATTTTACCCACAAGTTACATGGAGATTGAGTCATCTCCACGTCAAATGTACTAGTATGCATTAAACAACTCAAAAAGCTTTTCAAAACTATTGAGAACAATCAGTTACAGTTTAGAAAGAATCAAATTACAGGTGCTGGTTTTGGCTTTGTTATATGACTAAAGAAGAAATTTACCAAACCAAGCCATCACACTAGTTAGCATACAATGGATGAATAGTTCATAGATAGATAAAAGTAGATTCACAAGGACGTCCACATCAAAGATCCCCCACATATACCTTTTTTGTTGGACAAAAATCAAAGATCCATACCTAAGTAGTAAGGTAATCCACAAAACTACATAGTTGTCCAGGTTGTCATAATAAACTAACAACACTTTACACACATGCCATGCATGTGTGACTCAATGACACCTCACCACTGTCATGAAAAATCTACTCAGTCGGTGGATAATGACACTATTATCATTTTCAAACCTCTCTTTAATTTCCTCTCTCTTTTCCCTTACATGACTTTTCTACCATTAACATCACTCTCTTTGTCTATAAATCTAGTAACCATGCTTCTATTGTTTCCCTCCTTTCTTCCCTCAACCTTAAAATTTGAAAAGAGTTCAAAAAGAAATATTAAACTAAGAGTTTCTTAGTAACACAGCATGTGTTGTAGAATAACAATTTAGTTTTATATGCCAATCAACCACACTCCTACAAACACTTTCCTTGTGACATAACTGCCTTCTCTATATACTTGTTTGTTAGCTCTCTCCATCTTGTATGCTGAGGCCTCTTTTCTTCTGAAATAACTTAGAATACTAATTTGATTCCTATTTTTCATTCTCTCTATTCGTATAGCAATGGGTGAGGAAGTGAAACAGGTAAGCCTTAATTTTTGCTTACATGTTTTTGAGGTAATACGGCAGACTATAATTTTTCTTCTTTGAATTGGGTAGGAGCCACCCAAAGAAGAGTCGAAGCCAGAGGAAACTCCGGTAGAAGAGAAGAAAGAAGAGCAACCAGAGGAGGAAAAAGAGCCTAAACCACCATCTCCATGTGTGTTGTTTGTAGACTTGCATTGTATGGGATGTGCAAAGAAAATTGAGAAATATATTATGAAAATGAGAGGTTCATATTTGTATAATCCATCTTGTTGCATGCTTTTGATTATTTAATTAATCCACGGGTCATTCATGAGCATTCATTTTCATTTGTGTTTATGTTCTAACAGGAGTTGAAGGAGTGATGATTGATATGACTAAAAATGAAGTATTGATAAAGGGAATAGTGGAGCCTCAAGCAATCTGCAATATTATAACAAAGAAAACAAAGAGAATGTCCAAAGTTATATCTCCATTGCCTGAAGCAGAAGGAGAACCTATACCAGAAGTTGTTACTTCTCAGGTCTCACTTCTGATTTCAAATTTAAAAGCTAGATTAGTTCTAATCTAAATAGTTAGTGAATAATAATTAATTAATTAGTTTTCTGTTCCAGGTTAGTGAACCAGTTACTGTGGAGCTTAATGTTAACATGCACTGTGAGGCCTGTGCTGAGCAGCTCAAAGGGAAGATACTCAAAATGAGAGGTACCACTTGTCTCCTTATTTCAGCGCAATCTGTTATGAGTTTCACGTCGAACAATATATGGTATGAACATGTGTTTATAAGTGGGGACAATCGTCGTCCTACAAGACAGTTTTGTAGGAATGAGTTAAGCCAACCAAATTTCTTAACATATAGTATTAGAGTCTCGTTTCCACTATCGGGTCATCCACTATTTATTTTCACGCTCCAGATGTCCAATTATATGCATATGATGTGAAAAATGTGTATTTGTTAACTAATGCAGGAGTCCAAAGAGTAGAGACAGATCTTAGCACAGGGAAGGTTACTGTGACAGGAACCATGGATGCAAACAATTTAGTGGAATATGTCTATAGACGAACCAAAAAGCAAGCCAAAATAGTTCCACAGCCAGAACCTAAACCAGAACCAGAAAAGAAAGAAGAAGAGAAACCAGCTGAAGCAGAAGAAGCTAAACCAGAAGAAAAGAAAGAAAAGGTTGGTGAAGAAGATAATAAGAATGAAATTAAAGAAATAGAAAATGGAGTTGATGATGAAGGTGTCATGAAGAGGATGATGTACTATAACTATTACCAACCATACTATGTGGTTGAACGAATGCCACCACCACCTCAACTATTCAGTGATGAGAATCCAAATGCATGTTGCATTTCATAAATTTTTCACCACGTTCACATTATCGAACTAGTTATTGTTTTATGATATATCGTTCAGTCTTTTTATGTATGTACGATATATTACTACATATTAAATTGTTTGGACACTTTTGGTTAATGAATTTGATGTTTGGTACGTACATTGTTTTTATAGTCTATAAATTGAGGATGATTATTATATATGTAAATGAAATGCATGGCATAATATAAAGAGGAGAAAAACAAATAAATAGAGAGAGAAAAGAGGCTACTTGAGTATTATTGAACAAATAGACATATTCATGGAAGGAAATCAGGTGGGTGGGTCTGAGTTGCACATGGGGATGGGGTCCATATAGAATGAAGTCTGATTCATCTGATTCTGATGTAGGCTAATGACAAGTCATGGTGACACACCAAATCCACCTCGTCAGATTGATCCCATCTTATAGGTTTTCTTACACTAAAAAGTTAGTTTTAAATTCCTAACTTCTTCAAACCGTTTTAAAATAATTTATATTTTCATTTGAGAAGATTGATGTGGTTTATAAAACAATTAACTAGTTTTAAATTCCTAACTTCTTCAAACCGTTTTAAAATAATTTATATTTTCATTTGAGAAGATTGATGTGGTTTATAAAACAATTAAAAAGTATTGTTTATACTTCGATGATGGAGTTTAGTGGGGAGTACTTGTAAACGTTTGAACGTTCAAGTTAGTGACGGTTGAAAATACTAAGTATTTAGACATAGATTAACGTGTATTTGAGTTTGAGGTACCTTGAGGGACAACTGCTCTTAGATCTTTTATGTCTTTGATCCGACAATTCCCATTGCTTTGTAGAATATTTAGGTCTTTCACTTTTCGGATCGACAGTTTCCATTACAAAGTGGACGTCGGCCCAGGCAGGAGCAGTAGCTTCTAAAGTCTGATCTGATGTGGCCAGAATAAGACTTGTAGTCTATGTTGTCTTCCTAACTCGTGTCGGACTATAGGTTTGGGCTCCCTTCCTATATGGAGAAATGCTCAAATATGTTAGTTCATTTGTGTCTCACTTATTTTAAGTAGAGAGGGTCATTTTAAGGGGAGAGAGAGAGAGAGAGAGAGAGAGAGAGAGAGAGAGAGAGAGAGAGAGAGAGAGAGAGATTAAAATAAGCTTCAAAAGAGATAAAAAAAGGAGAGAAATCAATCCCTGTTTTTCTGCAACCAATCTTAGTAAATTAGTAATTTCATATTCGTTAACCGTTTGATCGAGCTTATTTTTAGAGGACATGGTCACAATACATGCATCTACGTTTTGACCGTTCAGATATGTAAAACGAAGCTTACAGCGAGAGATATTGGCTTCTCAGGGAAGCTGCAAATTTTGGTATTTTCAACTTCTTGTTTCTGATTCGTATGCTAGTTTGCTTTATGATTTTGTTGTTGTTAGCACTAGTTTGTGAATCACTTTGAAACTCCATATTTCTTTGGTCTAGACAACCTGTGGTTTTTACTCTCACATTAAGGGTTTTCTAGGTTAAAATATTGGTGTTCTCTTGTGTTTTTATTTATTTGATTTGCTGTCATATATTTGTTGTTGATCCTCATAGGTTCTCACAAGTTTGAAATTTTTTATTTCTGTTGTGTATTGGTTTATTATTATGCATTAATTTTCCATCAAAGCTCTTGCTTATGAACTATTTTACTTATTTGAATAATTGAGCCAAATACAGGCATGAAGATGTTATTGTTGAATGATTTTAATTACTATTTGTGGAAGAGTAAGATGATATACTTACTATTTGTGAAGAAATTGTATTTACCGATTTATAGTTTTGCAAAGCCAAATCTTGTGTCTGATGAAGAATGTGAGTTTGAACATTTACATGTATGTCACTTTATTCTACAATATATAGAAGACATTATTTATAATCCTATTGACATGAAAAAACTTTGTGGGAGAAGATAGAGTCCTTGTATGCCTTTAAATCACGGGATAATAAAGTGTTTTTGTTGAATAGCTTCATAAGTTTGAAGTATATGGAGAAAACTTCTATTTCAGAACACTTGAGTGAATTTTAAGGGTTCATTGATCAGATGTCAAGAGTGGGTATCAAATTTGATGATGAACTTTTGAGATTATTGATATTGCTATCTTTACTAGAGTCTTGTGAGACGTTTTGGGTTTCTATCACAAGTTCTGCTTCTAGAGGTGTTGCTTCTTTGAAAACGACTAAGAGTGACATTCTTAATGAGGATATGAGGAGGAATACGCGTGGTTCTTTGTCTAAATATGATGCACTTATCACTAAAAATAGGGGAGAAGACAGAAAAAGGAACTGAAGGGTGATAGAGAGAATATAAGAAGCAAGTCATATTCGCGATAAAAGAATATGGAGTGTCATTATTGTCATAAAACATGACACATATAGAAGTGTTGTTATTAGTGGAAAAGGGATAACAAAGGCAAGAAATTTAAGTATAAACAAAGAGATCATGAAGATCATGATGATGATCGTGTTACTACTGCTACTAGTGATGATCTTGTTATTCTCTGTTATCATGAGTCTTCAAATCTAATATCAGATGAGAGCATGCAGATATTTGACAGCGGTGCTACATTTCATGTTACACCAAGGAAGGATTTCTTCACATCTTATACTTTTAGTGAATTTGGAGTGTTGAATATGGGTAATGACAGGGTGCATAAGTTAATTGGTGTTGGTGATGTTTGCTTGTAAAACAACATGAGAATGTAATTGTTTCTTAGAGGTGTCAAACATGCTACAAATGTCCGCTTTAATTTTATCTTTGTACTTATGTGTGATACGGTGGGAGAACTGACTTGAAGGTTTTGTGTTTTATCGCAAATGTTGCGGTTAGCAAGATTCACCACCGACTTTTCTTTTATCCAAAAGGAAAGGTAAAAAAACACAGGAAAGACCTTTGAGATTGTTTCTTGAGTTCGGGGGGTAGATTATGAAAAGGGAAGGTATTAGCACCCTTTTCATTCATGGTTTTCCATGGGCTCTTAGTTACTTGCTAGATCACTTGCTTTTGTTTGAAATTTTGCTTTGTATGGTTTTTTGAAAGTATTTTGTAAAAGAGGCCATTGTTTAGGCAATCTTTGTAATGATTCTCGTTCGTAAGAATGTATACAAAGATGTTTGTCTTTTTGAAAATGTTTTCAAGTTTGTAAGATGTTTTGAAATGTGTGTGTTTGTTTTGAAAATAGCAAGGATATTTGTTTGAAATGGAGCAAGTAACCAAAAGTAATCTACCTACTTAAATGTCTTTCTTGTTCATTTTCTTTTCCTTTGATATTGTTGTCTTACCATTGATTTGGTAAGCAATCCTATCTTTAGATGTAAACGGGACATGCGTTGGTCATCATATAGTCATGATTAGCAATATTGCAAAGTATCTTAGCATTTTTTGAGGGACTAAGATCATTTTGTAAGGAAATTTTGAATAGCGTCATCGAAGGACTATGATCTTATATTTGTTTGTTTTGCTAAGTGTTGGCTGAAGATTTTGATATTGTGATTCGAAATGAAATGATTGGGCTTTGTTTGAATAAAGCAAGTTTTATGGTTTGGAATGGAAGAGACTGTTTTTTCAAATGGAAATATTAAAGTTCAAGGTTTCGAATGATAGTTGTGGAGTGTAAGTCTAAAGAATTTTCGAAATAATGATGAGATTATATTTGTGAAGGTTGTTTTCGAAAATAACCTTTGAAACGAATTCGAAACGAAGGTTCCAAGGCGTTTGAAATTCAAACGTGAGCGGGATATTGGAAATTCAAATACATAAGCGTTGGAGCGTTCGAGGACGCATGGAGGCTAGAGGGAGGTAATGCTCTGCATGCTTCGAACATGGCAGATTCTGATAGCAAGACCGTTATGGTTGAAATAGTATAAATAGAGGTCTTAGTGTTAGGATTTCGGGGTGTCATATCTGTTGTACAAATTCAGTAAACATTCAAAATACCGCATGGATAGGGAAACGAATGCTCGAAAGATGTACGTATGATAACACCAACATTTACAATTCAATGAAAACTCTTTATATTTTCCAGTTTTGTCTTTCATTTCCATTTCATTTGTGCTTCAAACAATTTTACGTTCATGCCTTTATATTAAAGCTTTTACATTTAGAGTCATTTATTTCTTTCTGCATTTAAACGCTTTTCTTATGTTCGAATCCTTTAAACATTCAACAACTTTTACATTCACTCACTTAATCCTGCCATTTACCCAACCTTAAGTCTTTTTACTTTTCTAATGAACATTCCTTATATCATATAGAAATTATCCTTCGAATCATTTAGTGTAGTAATCGAAGTGGATTGGATGTCTTTGAAACACTTTAATTAGAAGTCCTAAATATGAATACCAGTTTTACAATTAGATTTAGCCAAACAACTATGTCCCATAGGATCAATCTAGTCGATCCTGCAAGTTACCAGAGAAATTGAATAACAGTAATTAAGTTTATTCGATAGTTTGGAAGACTAGCGGTTGTTTACCAGAAATCACTGTGAACAAATTGGCACGCCCAGTGGGACCCGTTGTTAAGAAAGTCGAAAGTAAAGATTTTTAGGATATAATCTCGCTGTGTAAGTTCTTTTCTGAGTATCAATTTCGCTGTTATATGAACCTTAGAAGTGGTAAAACAACTAATAGTAACCAACCCTTACCCAGAAGAAAACGTAGTAGTAGGATGTCTAATCCAAGCAATCAACAAGGGGAACAAAATGCCCCACATGGAACAGGCACCAATACGTCTGTTTCGACGGGGACGTCTAATGCGATCCCTATGAATGCACAGTCTGTTGCATCTTCTACCAGTAGTATGGCCACAAATGGAGCAAGTGGCACGACAACCAACAGTTTGACCCTAGGAAATACAGGGACCACTGGTTATCCTGCGGGATTTGTCCCACCATCAGGGACACAAACCCATTTCGCCACCCCACCACCAACTAGACCACCCGGTTTCGATGGCATTAGACCCAGAAATCCCTCTTATGGGATGCC